AATATGTTCTTCTATATTTATGAGATAAAAGGACAACACATTTTACCTGCTACTTAATAATTAAGTACCCATTAAGAAAAACGATTCCATGCGAATTTGTAACAAACAAATTTGTAACAATTAGTAAAGTAATACAAATTTGCATCTTAATAACTGAATACAATTTAATGATATTCAAATTTAATGACCGATTTTCAACCCCACCTTTTTATCCCCCAATGACTTAGTACATTTTTACTTTTCTAGTTTACACTTTGCTAGGTGGTTAAAAAACGTGATAACCGTTTATAATTATAGTTGTAATACTAATGCTACTTGAACTTCTACATTGTTGTACATGCAAGTGCAACTATAATTATTTAATATTTTGTGATAATGTCAAATATTTTATAACATTATACAAATCAGTTACGCACAATAGCTTGACAAATGGGATCGTCGTACAATACATGTCTTAAATGGTGCATTTCAAAAATTATCCTTCGACTCTAAATGATATAAAACACAATCAGTTATTTATTTTATTTACTATTTAAGAAATATACAATATTAGGTCAATTACAACCCATAATATCACGTTGATGTTATATTTGATTAGTTTTTAATACATTTTTTATTATTAAATATTTTCGAGGTGTTACTTATTATATCTACTGGGATACTTCAGTAAGCCCTTTTAGTTTTACGCGTACCGTCTAGCTACTTTTATATCTTACTAAATTATATTATCTATTAAATGTCCTCTTCTTCATTATAATTTTGTACTTTCTTACTTCAAAAAAGACCCACACTTAACCTCTTTTTTTGACTATGGGCCTTTGATTTTTTTCTGTTTACGACTATATTATTAAGCGACGCCAGCCCACATAAGTAGTGTAATGATTTTCACATTTGTATTTCAAAATATTTTAATCATAAACTTTTTATGCATACGTTAAACATTTTGTTTTTGATATTATTTATTAATATAGGTATGATTATTTTTTATTGAACATCTTTTAAACTGTATATTTCGATTTAATAGTTACCTCTTTGATAGTAGCATTGCATCTGTAACACAAATAAATCAAATTCCCCGTTACAATGCATATGTGAATGCATAAATTGACATACGTGAAAATGTCCACAATCATTTTACGAACTATGATTTCCCATATAAATATATACAAACATAACAATAACTGAATGTAAATGTCCATCATGATAAAGAATAATTCTGGTCCGAAAGTATTGGATACATGTCCAATGAAGTCTTCAAGAAACCAATGATCGTTCATCAACGATGTCAATCGCAACGCCCGTTCAGACTTCGATATCAAACTGCACAGTGCTCCCATTTCTCTATAGAGTATGGGAATAATGTAAAGTAATTTCTAAAAGATATAATGTAACATAAATGAAGATTATTGTTTAAATAAGGTTGGAAAAATTGCAGTCAATGATTCAGCCAAATTAAACCACTAAGATCATTGTAAATGATGGATTAGATCAAGGTAAGTATTTATTGGAGAAATATACAAATTGGCGGAGTGCGAGAATTATTTTGTCGTCAAAATATTGACGACGGAAAGAGATGACTGAAGAACAATTTTTGCAGCGGAGAAGAAGAAACAAATGATCTTGATTATGTAGGTACAAGGAATTTAGGGCAAGTATCGTTGAACAATTACTTTTTGTTAAACTATAACCCAGATAGAAGAAAACAAAGTTATTATAATGTTATCAGAAAATACTTTATGCTATATATTTAATTTTGTACAAGTATAATTTTCAAAAGAAGGCCTAACCAAATTAGGAAAATTGTAATTCCCTAAAATTTCCAACTATTATTAGAATCTTAACTTAAATAACCTACAAGTAAAGTAATTTTACAACATGCATTAACAAACTTTTAATTTCTAATTTCCATATAATAGCATTGAGTGTTACGTCAGAAAGTGATTAATGAACGGGGTTGAGAACCAGTAGTAGTAAAAGTGTGACATCCCTGTAATAGTTAGAAAATATTTTATAAAGGTTCATTTTCAGTCCTGTCAATCTTGGTCTGCGCTGATAACACAATAAGTACATTTTATTTTTCTGCTAAATTGATATTGCCTGTAAATGTGTGTACCATTGTGAAATGTATAAGAACTATAAATAATATTACCTGTTAATGTCTTCGTAGGAGTTCTGAGATACCAAACACATAATGTTAACCAGGTGCACGATTAATAAGGGGCACGTAAAAGAGGCGTAAAAAGCGTAGTGAACTATTGGATATGTGTGTGCGGAATATTTTAGGAAAACTCCTATCTTAAGTATCATAGAAAACATCAACACCAGTACGGCCAACGAGGCGATGGGCAAACCGCGCGAGTATCGACACCGAAGCAACAGGACTACGACCATGTTCATGCAACGGACGGTTTTTTTCAAACGGAACACGACCAAAATGATTACTATTGGAGATATTGTTAAATGCGAGAGGATTACAACTAACGCACTACAATAGTTGTCCACCAAACAACTGCCTGTCTTATTATTGGCTATAAACTTAATAATGATTTTCGACATGCCGTATAACGTCCACACTTGTATTGCCATCTGCAATATCCAAATTATGATTGCAGTTTTGCTCACATGAAAACGTACGTCGCGAACTGTAAAATCGAAAAAAACGTTGTGATGTCACACAAAATGACAAAAACCAAGCGATCACACTTGAGTTATATTTGTACATACATAGTTTGCGCTTTATACGCTATTAGGTGTCACACAATGTTATAACAAAGTCACTTTTAAACGAATCTTTCTTTTAAAATTTTGGAGACCGTCTTTTTTTAATACGTGAACACTCTTCATTATGTTTCAAACTAGATTTAAAACTCGTATACGCTATTTATATACTTTTCTTATAAGCCAAATAGATATTTTAATAAATGAGGTACCTCTCGCCGGAAGATTGATTTCCAGATATACGCCACTATTTTTGCAAAAACTACTGTTCATCATAGTCGTTTACTTAGCTATAAAGTTTTACCAGGTATCAATTGCATTAACTAAATTTTGGAAAATGCCGATAAGAGGTTCCTTTTTTACTTTCGCGTCACATAACAAGAAATCAACTTTTCAATCTAGATTTAAAACTCGTATACGCTATTTATATACTTTTCTTATACGCCACATAATAGGTATTTCTTATCAAAAATATTTAAAATTACAACGATATGAGGTAAATGCGTTTTAGTAAATATAAATTAAAATCCTTACTGTTATTATGAAATCTCCCATGAAAATCTTTAGAATTCTTTATAATGTTCTTTATTCGGTAGTATGAGTAACCAATTGGTAAGATTCCAAACATTTTATTAAGGTAATATACCGGAGCGATAGAAGCCAAACGGCCAACTTTCAACATCTTCTCCATACTTCAGGAGATGGCTGTATTCTAAGTCAAACTACATGCTACTATTACTCGTATATGTTCCGTCAACTTTTTAAATATAATAGAGCTGGACAGCGAAGTCTTTACACTGAGGGCACGGGGGGCAAGTGGAAGTTCAGCTGGATATTTAAGATATTTGAATTGTTATTTTAACCTTCAATTATATTGTTAAACTTAAACTTCCAATTGTATTGTTGAAACGACTTAAATTTAAACGATTTTATATACTTATTTATCTTATCTATTCAATTGAATTTTATTATTTTTGTTAAGTAAAACATTATAGAAAAAGGCACAAACGAATATTTAAATTTTGAAGGAACAATGCCTTTTTTACTTATTATATGACTTTCCTTTGTCTATTATATATTTTTTGTACATGTATTTTAAAAGAATAACAAGTGCCAATGCCTACACAAACACAAAATATAGTGTAACGATGGCATTTTCCATCATGCAGTCGTGGGTGTGATCCACTCACCGCATTGTACCGTAACAATAGTCTAAGTAGAAACATGCCTAAAGTAAGCCCTCCCCCCTCCCTCCTATATTATCAAAATCGATCCAAAAAAAATTTAAGTAATTTTGCTGTACTTCTACAATATTATAAAATGTCCAAATCGACTAGTCCAAATTATCACTTTACCTAACTAAACTATGCAATTAAGTTTAAAAAGTTTTTAAGAGAAGGGTAAGAGAAGGGTATTGCCGGTAAGCACCACGTGAAGACGGGGCCAAGTCTTCGCGTCATTTGTACTTAAAAACACACAATATAGCATTCACAAAACGTCTATTTTTTCCGTTCCACGAAAAAAATATTAAATTATGTATAATAATATGTTTTTTACAATAAAGGTTCACATAACATAATCACCAACATACAATACAAACAAGTATGATATTACTTAACTGTACAATTTCATTTCAGAAAAATAGTTCTACATCTTTTACACTATTTGAATACAATGATAATAATATGTTTGGATACATTTCTATTTTAGGACGTAACTTATCAATACTATTCAAGCGGGGCCATAACAATTTTTAAAACCTGTTTGCAATTGCTCACAAAATCATATTCACGACATATATTTTGTCCTGGGCTATTGAGGCAAAACAGGGAGGCTAGATTTTTTTTTTAATTTTCGTTTTCTAGGAAATAAAAGAATTAAAAAATTTTAAAAAATCCGGTTACAATTACTTGCATTTTGTTTGATATTAAATGAAATTGCATTATTTTTTATTAATCTCATCTCTATTGAATTTATACATTTTTTCGTTGCGTTATTTACTATTTTATTGTTACTTCTATTCTATTTCGAATTTAAAATATTGAGATATGTGTAGTTTGATATTAACCTCATTACAATAACAAAATTAAACATAATATAAATATTAAAAAAAAATTAAGAAAGTAAATACTACATAACAAAAAAAAAAAATATGTATAAGACAATGTAAGTCAACATTAATGATGAATAATATATTAATATTTGATACATTTTATAATTTAATTTTATGAAATATATAATACATTATTTAATTACATAAGTTTAAACATAATAATCTGACAAAAACTAACAATATATTACTATATATTAACTGTCTTAAGAAATCTCAGTAAAACAATCTCCGAAAAAATTGTTAATCTTTGCTAAGACAAGGCCATTTTTCACATTTAACTATTTTACTTATATTCAATTCTTTTGATGCGTGTTTGTAACCATCTATTTGGAATTGAACAAGCACTAAAAAGTACGTGAACATAAGGCCTGCCGACTACAAAAAATAAAAAATCATATAAACATTTAATCGTCTGTACAAACAATGTTTAAAAGACCTACACCACAAAGTAAAGGTAGGTTTATATTGAATAACTTCAATACTGTAATATGTACTTCCCGGCTATTGACTCGTAGTGTGAAAACTTTTAGCTGTCAACACAAAAACTGCAGTTAAAAATTTTTGAAATACTTAATAACACTAGGTGCTTATTAATTAGTTGTTAAAGATCACACAATGTTTAAAACACAAGCCGTATTTAAAACATAAGTTATTATGTTGTTAACATTAGTCATTTATAAATAACTAATGCGTATAACATGTGATTTATAAAAAACTGTGTGGGGGAAAGTGTTAATTGCAATCACTCTGAAAAAATAACCGTGAAATTATTCAAATGTCTTTCCCAAACTGGAATAAAACAAATATGTTCTTCTATATTTATGAGATAAAAGGACAACACATTTTACCTGCTACTTAATAATTAAGTACCCATTAAGAAAAACGATTCCATGCGAATTTGTAACAAACAAATTTGTAACAATTTGTAACGTAATACAAATTTGCATCTTAATAACTGAATACAATTTAATGATATTCAAATTTAATGACCGACTTTCAACCCCACCTTTTTATCCCTCAATGACTTAGTACATTTTTACTTATCTAGTTTACACTTTGCTAGGTGGTTAAAAAACGTGATAACCGTTTATAATTATAGTTGTAATACTAATGCTACTTGAACTTCTACTAAACATTGTTGTACATGCAAGTGCAACTATAATTATTTAATATTTTGTGATAATGTCAAATATTTTATAACATTATACAAATCAGTTACGCACAATAGCTTGACAAATGGGATCGTCGTACAATACATCTCTTAAATGGTGCATTTCAAACATTATCCTTCGACTCTAAATGATATAAAACACAATTAGTTATTTATTTCATTTACTATTTAAGAAATATACAATATTAGGTCAATTACAACCCATAATAACACGTTGATGTTATATTTGATTAGTTTTTAATATATTTTTTATTATTAAATATTTTCGAGGTGTTACTTATTATATCTACTGGGATACTTCAGTAAGCCCTTTTAGTTTTACGCGTACCGTCTAGCTACTTTTATATCTTACTAAATTATATTATCTATTAAATGTCCTCTTCTTCATTATAATTTTGTACTCTCTTACTTCAAAGAAGACCCACACATTCCTTCTTTTTTTGTCTATGAACCTTTCATTTTTTACTGTTTCCGATTACATTATTAAGCGACGCCAGCCCACCTAGGTAGTGTAATGATTTTAACATTTGTATTTTAAAATATTTTAATCGTGAACTATTTATTCGTACGTTAAACATTTTGTTTTGAATATTTATAATATAGGTATAATTATTTTTTATTGAACACTTTTTAAACTATATATTTCGACTTTATAGTTACCTCTTTGACAGTAGCATTGCATCTGTAACACAAATAAATCAAATTTGCCGCCACAATGCATATGTGTATGCATATATTGGCATACATGAAATTGTTCACATTTATTTTACGAACAATATTTTCCCATATAAATATATACAGACATAACAATAAATGTATGTAAATGTCCATCATGATAAATAATAATTCGGGTCCGAAAGTGCTGGATATATGTTCAATTAAGTCTTCAAGAAACCAATGATCGTTCATCAACGATGTCAATCGCAAAGCCCGTTCAGATTTCGATTTTAAACTGCATAGTACTCCCATTTCTCTATAGAATAATAATATATAAATATTTGCTACAGGATATGGTGTAATATAAATTAAGTTTATCATTAAAACAAGGTCAGAGAAATTTCAGTCAATGCATCAGCCAAATTAACTTAATAAGAAAATTGTTAAATGTTAACATATACCGGTGTATTTATGTATAAAAAACTTATTTATATACGTTTATTATTTAAATAAAAATAATGTTCCATTACATTCCCTTCGAAATTTTCGAAACTACAAAATTAATACAACACTAAATTAAACCAACTATGGGTTTTATTTTTATTTTTCAATTATTTTTCACAACAAATAATAGAGAAAAGTTTGATGATGGACATAATAAAAGTTAGCGGAGTGCGAGAATTTTTTTTTATGTCAAAATACTAACGGCGCAGAGAGATGACTGAATGACATTATTTGCAGCTACAATATTTGCACCACTGTTTTGAACAATATAATAGCATTAAGTTTGACGTATAGAAAGTGACTAATAATAACACAATGAAAACATTTAAACTTTCTGCTACATTAATATATATCAATAAACAAATACATTCAATTAATTTGAAATAACAAATTTTCCAATTAACAACCTTCCAATTGACTATTTGTTTAAATATTTTATTATAGGCCAGTCAGCAGAAAAATAAATAATGTTGTATTCATAATGTTGTTATAAAATCTGTTTAAATTTTGAAAATTATTTATACTAGTAAAAGTGTACCATCCCAGTAACAATTGAGTTCCATTTGATAACGGTTCATTATCATTCCTGTCTGTCTTGGCCCACGATGATAACACAATGAAAACATTTTATTTTTCTGCTAATTTGATATGCCTGTAAATTTGTGTTATACTGTAAAATGTATAGGAACTATAAATAATATTACCTGTTAATGTCTTCGTAGGAGTTCTGTGATATCAAGCACATAATGTTAATCAGGTGCAAGATTAATAAGGGGCACATAAAAGATGCGTAAAAGGCATAAAAAACGATTGGCAATTTGGAATAGTTTAGGGAAATTGTTATTTTAATTATCATAGAGAACACAAAAACCAGCACGGCCAACGAGGCAATAGGCAACCTACGCGAGTATCGACACCGAAGCAACAAGGCTACAACCGTGTCCATGCAACGGACTGTTTTTTTTAACCTGAACACGACCAATACTAATATTACAGGAGATATCGTCATATGAGAGATGAGAACACCTAACGCACTGCAATAGTTGTCCACCAAACAACCTCTTCCTTTTTTATCGGCCAATGACTTAATAATGATTTTCGACATGCCGATTAACGTCCACACGTGTATTGCCAACTGCAATATCCAAAATATGATTGCAGTTTTGCTCATGTGAAAACGTACGTCGCGAACTGTAAATTCGAAAAAACGTTATGAAGTCACACACAATGACAAAAATCAAGCGATCATACTTGATATGTTATATTTGTACATAAATAATTTGTGCTCTCCACGCTATTAGGTGACACACAATGTTATAATAAAGTCACTTTTTAACAATTTTTCTTTTAAAAAGGTGAAGACGTCATTTTTTAATAGGTAGGCTATTTATATATTTTTCTTATAAGCCACATAATAGGTATTTCTTATCAAAAATATTTAAAATTACAACGATATGAGGTAAATGCGTTTTAATAAATATAAATTAAAATCCTTACTGTTATTATGAAATCTCCCATGAAAATCTTTAGAATTCTTTATGTTGTTCTTTGTTTGGTAGTATGAGTAACCGATTGGTAAGGTTCCAAACATTTTATTAAAGTAATATACCGGAGCGATAGAAGCCAAACGGCCAATTTTCAACAGCTTCTCCATAGTTCGGAAGATGGTTGTATTCTAAGTCAAACTACATGTTACTATTATATATTCCGCCAACTTTTTATACATAATAGAGCTGGTTATTTTAAATACTTAAGGAGTTATTTTAACCTTAACGTCTTTATACTGAAGGCACGGGGGGCACGCGGGAGTTCAGCTGGATGTTTAAGATATTTTAATTGTTATTTTAACCTTCAATTATATTGTTAAACTTAAAATTCCAATTGTATTGTTAAAACTACCTAAATTTAAACGATATTATATACTTATTTATCTTATCTATTGAATTGAAATTTATTATTTTTGATAAATAAAACGTTATAGAAAAACGCACAAATGAGTATTTAAATTTTGAACGAACAATGTATTTTTTTCTTATTATATGACTTTCTTTTGTCTATCATATTATTTTTATTTGTTTTTAAAAGAATAACATGTGCCAATACCTACAGAAGTACAAGAAACGGTCACAGTAGAAACATGTTTAAAGTTAACTTTCCCCTCTCCCATATTATCAAAATCGATCCAAACAAATTGTATGTAATTTTGATATACTTCTTCTGAGATACCAAACACATAATATTAACCAGATGCAAGATGAATAGAGGGCTCATAAAAGAGACGTAATAAAAATAAAAAAACGATTGGCCAATTGGAATAGTTTAGGGTAATTGCTATTTTTAGTATCATAGAGAACACGAACACCAATACAGCCAACGAGGCGATGGGCAAACCGCGCGAGTATCGACACCGAAGCAACAAAGCTACAACCTTGTTCAAGCAACGGACTGTTTTTTTCAACCTGAACACGACCAAAACTAATATTGCTGGAGATATAGTTATATGCGAGATAAGCAAACCAAACGCACTGCAGTCATTGTTTGCAAAACAACCTCTTGCTTTCCTACTGGCTATCGTCTTAATAATGTTTTTCGACATCCCGGTAAACGTCCACAGTTGTATTGCTATCTGCAATATCCAAAGTATGATTGCAGATTTACTCACGTGAAAACGTACGTCGTGAACTGTAAAATATAAAAAAAATTGGGACTTCAAACACTGTCTCAAAATTGTAAGCGACCATACTTAATGGCAATATATATTTAAATCATACATGTATTCTATTAGGTAACAAAATATTAAATAAGCTCGGTTTGTAAAAACGATTTTCTTTTAACAAAGAAGAGGCCTCGTTTTTGAATAAGAGAACACGCTTTACAATAATAATAATTTCATTCAAATAAATTTAATCAAGTTTAAAATTAAAAAAAAAATATAAGGTAGGTGTAAACCATCAAAACTTAGTTTCCATTTTTTGATTACGCTGTTGATATATTTATATAGAAACATATAAACGACCTCTCGCCGGAAAGTTAATTTCTAGAAAAACGTCAAAACATTCACAGACTACAATCATATCACATCATAGTCATTTGTTTAGCTATAAGATTTACCAGGTCACATATTGTTAAAAAATCAATCAATATTCAGAAAAATAGCACTAATTCAACTTTAGAAAATGCCGGCAAAAGTTGACTTTTCACTTTCCGCATCATATTGTTAGAAATCAATGTTTCAATCTTGATTTAAAACTCGTATCGCTGTTTCTATAATTTACACATAAGCCATAATATATATTTTTCTTATAAGCCACATAATAGGTATTTCTTATCGAAAATATTTAAAATTACAACGATATGAGGTAAATGCGTTTTAATAAATATAAATTAAAATTCTTACTGTTATTATGAAATCTTCCATGAAAATCTTTAGAATTCTTTATGATGTTCTTTGTTTGGTAGTATGAATAACCGAATGGTAAGGTTCCAAACATTTTATTAAGATAATATACCGGAGCGATAGAAGCCAAACGGCCAACTTTCAATAACTTGTCCATAGTGCAGATGATGGCTGTATACGAAATCAAACTTTTTATTACTATTTAATATTCCGCCAACTTTTTATACATAATAGAACTGGTTATTTTAAATATTTAAAGAGTTATTTTAACCTTAACTTGTTTTGTTAAAATTATTTTAATGTAAACGATGTTATATACTTATATCACATCTAATGAATTGAATTTTTTATTTTTGTTTAATAAAACATCATAGAAAAAGGCACTAATAAATATGTAAATTTTAAACGAACAATATGTTTCGCACTTATTATATGACTTTCTTTTGCCATTATATTTTTTTAAAGAATAACATGTGTCAACAGTCAACACCTACGCAAAAACAAGATATTGTCAAATCAGAAATAGCAAAATAGAATGGGAAATAAGTAAAAATAATACTTAGTCATGTTTTAAATATTTTAAATGTGTATATGATTATATACGAAGACTTCAATACCTTGGACATGTATGCGGCATCCAGAAAAATATAGTCTACTACAATTACTAATCCAGAGCAAAAGAGTCGGAAGAAGGAGCTGTGGAAGACATCCTAACGATTTGTTTTGGAAGTATCCAGAATAACAGTAAGGTTTAATAAGTATATTGTGCAATCAAAAACAACACGTTATAGTATTAAATTTAGACAAATATGATAAAATATATTCGATTTATTTTAATAATAATAAACTGATTATAAGATTTTCCAAAAGTTAAATTATTCACCATCGTTAATACATGGCCATAATTTACATTTTCTAAAAACGATGGCACTTGTATTCGTTTCTCTTGATGTATTTTTGTAGCCTTCCATTTGAAATTGAATGAGTACCAAAAAGTATGTTAGCACCACACCTGCTGACTGCGAAATTTAAGTAATATTTTAAACACACTATAACGGGTTAAATAGTAACTTGAATTAATACTTACACCCACAATTAATGATAGATTAATATCAATCAAATTCGATGCTGTGATATGCACTTTCCGACAATTAACTCGTATTGTGAATTTTTTAAGCTGTGAAAATCATAAATATACATATACATTAGACAATATCATCTACATTTTAATATTAGTAGATGATTGGTTATTTTGATTTTGATGAATAACTTACAATAGCTTGACAAATAGGATCATTGTACAATTTATCTCTCAAATGCTGCAGTTGAGAAATTACTCGTCGGCTCTATATTAACAAATAACTTTTTCTATTAGCTGTATCTAAATCCATTTATTATTCAGATATATTAGTAATTATGTCGATTAAGTATTTAAAAAAAAAAAATATTGGTTTTATAGTTACCTCTTTGACAGTGGCGTTGCATCTATAACAAATGTAATACAAATTCCCCACTATTATTGCTATCTGCAAGGTGGCGTAAAAACATGTGTACAGGCTTGAATACTTTCTGTGAACAATATTAGTCCATATATATATATACATGCATAACACTAGTTGAATGTATATGTCCAATATTATGAACAGTAATTCAGGACCGAAGGTGTTGGACATGTGTTCAGTATAATTTTCAAGAAACCAATGGTCGTTCATCAATGACCTCAATCGTAACGCCCGTTCGGATTTCAATGTCACACTGCACAATTCTTCTAATTCTCTGTAGGTTAAGACAAATATGCTAAAATACTGTACAAGTCAAATAAATGATATACAATAAGAAAAGAAAATAAAACAAGTTGCATATATATTTTACTATAGTGAAACCACCTATTTTGTATATAAGTGAATTTTCATATCCATATACATATAAATAAAATTGAAAAAATTGTCTGTTGTCTTCTGAACCGATTTTGATGCAGATAAAGTCACGGGCAACAGTTAGTATGAAATAAAAATGTTGGGATTGTTATGTGTAATACGACAATTAATCAGAGTTATGAACTATAATTAATAGTTATTATTATTAAAATGTAATCGACTAAAATGTAAAAGCCTAATCATTTTTTAAACTACACTCTATCATACCGTACTATATTCTGTATATGTATATATATATATATATATATATATATATATATATATTATTTGTTTTCGTTATAATATTCAATAACAAAAATGACTGAATTATTACCTGTTAATGTCTTCATAGGAGTACTGTGACACCAAACACAAGATGCATATCAGATGAATGAGTAATATCGGACACATGTAAACCAATATAAAAGTGTAATAAATTAATGGATAATGTACAGTAGACATGAATGCCAGCGATATTGATTTGCTCATAAAGGCAAAGATAAACAGTAGTATGGCAAACGTAGCCATAGGCAACCTGCGGGTATTGCGATTTCGAAGCAACAGAGTTGCAGTCATGTTCAAGCAACAGACGGTTTTCTTCAGCCGAAACTGGACCAAAACTATGACTATCACACTTATCAACGTGTGCGAGATCAGTATGCCCAACGAACTGCAGTAATGGTCTATCGAACAGATGATTTTTTTTTTACTGGTTATCGATTTAATAACGATTTTTGATATCCCAAAGAACGTCCACACTTGTAAGACGAATTGCAGACTCCAAAACATAACTCCGCTTTTGCTCACATGAAAGCGTACGCCGTTAACTGGAAAATCAGACGGATTTATCGTTATGAATAACAGCAGCACAAAAAAAAATTGTTATTTCTTTAGGTAATGGTAACAAACACATCTTAATCTTACTGTTGTTATGAAATCTCCCGCGAAAATCTTTCGGATTTCTGTTGTTCTCGAGTGGACAGTATGAGTAACTGACAGGCATGATACCGAATAGCTTACATAGATAATAAAGCGGAGCAATAATAGCCAAACGACTTATTTTCCATCGCTTGTTCATGGTTTGGCAAATGACTATACTCAATAAACTACTAGTTGACATTAAGTATTTTAACCCCATTTTAATACATATACTTAAAAACTTGAATGTATATACCAAAATAATAATAATAGTGTGTCTCTCTCTCGAAAATAATAATAGTGTCAACTCGATTATAATCCTTAGTTATATTGTTATTCCATCAATCATTTTTACTTTGTTTTGCAGTCAAAGGTAAAAAAAAAGTGCCAATGAATAACCGGAAATAATGCTTTGAACAGCCAAAAAAAATGTACTTTATTGATACTTTGTAAAAAAATCGCCTGTTTATATTTTACATTGTTCCGCTTATACTAATATAAACAGATTTGTAATGTAACGAAACTTGACTGCTTTTCATTCATTAATTAATAATAGTAACAGTAATTATAGTCATGGTAGTAAAAATAACTATTGTATTCATGATTACAATAATAATATTAATATAATCTAAATCATACATTTTAAATAATACTATAATCATTGGTCGTTTTGTTTCAAACTACCCTTATATTTTGTAATTTACCAATTTTTAGAAGTTTTTTAAATAAACATATTAATTTTTAATATGTATATTGCATATAATTTTAGAGTTTTAAAGTGGTTCTTCATACGCATACGTTATAATATATTCTATACGTTACACTATAGGTAAACATTTTATTACATTCATAGAGCGGCAGCGATTTTTATTAGTTGGCCGACTATTAGCATGCTTAAGAATATACAAGACTGTTTCGTAATGTCTAATGTTTAATATTAATAACACCAAAAAGGTTAATTTCTTAATTTTTAATGGTTAAATTAATATATTAATATCATTAATGGTTAGTATCCGATCGTGTAAAATAACTAGAAAAATATATAACGGCGAATGAGGTAAATAAAATAGTTACCGCGTGGTTTCTAAAGTTTTCTCATAAAGCCGTTTCGTGAACATTGAATTTGCTAGTTAATAAGATACATATTTATCCAATAACTACTAACATATTATAATGGAAAGGTCATGTAGTATGTTAAAATGAAGATTAACTATGTGGTTTTACACAATGATTATTTGATTAACTATAATCCCGTCGTAATTTTAACCAAATGGTGTCCAATTGTACTTTTGGAAAATATATATTTTCAATTCAAAACGCAATAACCTCGTTTAAATAGGTTTAATAAAACAATGTATAACTCAATTATGATTGAAATGATATAGTTAAATAAATAATAATAATTTAATATTATGCATATGTTTTTAAAGCCCGACCCGGCTTGCATGAATAAAACAATAAAATCGGCACAATATTTTTATCGTCATATATAATAACTAAAAAAACCATTCTGTTACTATTTATTTGAATGGCTGACACGGTGTTGAAAATGAATACCGGTAATACGGTATTTATTTCAATATCGGTTTGAGACGGTATACCGGAAATACCAAGGTCACGCAATTACCGGTATACTGGAAAAACCGTCAACCCTATTTATTTGTATACAGATGATCAGTTACACGCTGAAGTTGGGGACCGATTGCAAAGTCCGACTTCCAGTATAGTAAATATATACACGATGGGCTGTATTGAAATTGCTCATCTTCAAACGATAGACATTGCGTATAGTCTTGAAATTCAGTGAAAACTTAACTATCTATTTTAGTTATTGCTGTATACATTTATAAAACACGCAAATGTATAAGGTCATATAAATATTAAATGTACAAGAAAATTACATGTATGTATTCAAACGGTTGGGAATCATATTGGGGTTAAATAACTAGAATAGTATTTAACGGCGCATTAAGTTATTTTAATTACTGAAAAGTTTCTAGAATTATCTCGCTAAGTGTGTTAGTATTTTGTTATAAACCAAATTAGGCTTGTTGTTAAACTACAAACGTGTCGGTCGTGTAAAATGTTACTATAAGGATAAACATGTTAAATGGAATATTTAAGATTGAGCTAAAGAAAAATTGTTATAATTTTAATCATTTAAAAAATAATTAGCCCCATGTTCACGTTCCGCTTAAATGAAAACGCATTATTTTTACATAGCCTGATGTAATTTGATTTTAACACAGCATGATTTATTTACTTATTTTATTAATATTCTTTTTATGTCTTTAAAATCTTAACAATTTAGATGTGAAAGAATTGTATGTGTAGGTAAAGAATGATATAGTTACACTAACAAAATGTAAAATATACAAATAAAATTAAAATTTACTTAAGTATAAGTGTCCATGCTTAGATATAGTGATAGATATTATCAAAATATATATTTGATAGGTAACAAATATTTAAAAATAACAGTATTGACAAGAGATGCCAATAAAACAAAATATATATTAATTAGGTATATTGATAAAACTCAAAAATGCAATCTCCGAAAAAAATTGTTAATCTTTGCTAAGACAAGGCCATTTTTTACATTCAATGGTTTTACTTATATTAAACTCTTGTGATTGTTTGTAACCATCTATTTGGAATTGAACGAGTACTAAAAAGTACGTGAACATAAGGCCTGCCGACTGCAAAAAATAAAAAATCATATAAACATTTAATCGTCTGTACAAACAATGTTTAAAAGACCTACACCACAAAGTAGAGGTAGATTTATATCGAATAACTTCAATGCTGTAACATGTACCTCCCTGCTATTGACTCGTAGTGTGAAAACTTTTAGCTGTCAACACAAAAACTGCAGTTAAAAATTTTTGAAATACTTAATAACACTGCTTATTAATAAGTTTTTTAAAGATCAAACATTGCTTAGAAAACATACCATATTCAAAACTTATGTTATAAAGTTAACTTTAGTCACTTATATGAGTTAAAAATAACTCAAGCATACAATGTGTGATTTATAGAAATTAACTGCATTATGACATTTACTTCCCGGCTATTGACTCGATGTGTGAACACATTTATATATTGGGATATTACAAACTTTAATTAATAAAAAAAATACTTAATAAAACTAATGATTAGTTAGTTTATTTTTTGAAAATTACTCAATGTTTAAAGAATATAAAATATTTGAAAAATAAAATGTATACATTTTAATAATATTACACATTTAACAATTACACAATCACCAAGTTCTTATTAAGAAAACGATTCGATACGAATTACTTTAAAGATAACAAAATATATAACTTAATTTACAAATATACGCCTCAATCTACACCTCTACTGTACAATAATTACAATAATATTGTAATTATTTATCACTATTGTTGAATGAACAAGTACCTGCATTTTTCTTATTTTGTGATAATGTCAAATATTTAACAACATTATAGAAATTAATTACTCACAATAGCTTGACAAATGGGATCGTCACGCAGCACATTTCTCAAATGCTGAATTTGAGACATTATTTGTCGACTCTAAAATAAAAAATAACTGTTTGTATTATAAATTAATTGAAATATTTAAGACTGTATACTATTTTTTAGGTCGACTAGGGCTCATATTAATACGTTTAATGTCATACTTTTTTTTTAAGTTACCCACTATTGAATATCTACAGATCTACTGAGATAAGCAAGTAAACCTTTTCGATTTTACATTTGCATTATCATTCACTAACCGAATAATGTTATCTAAGAATTTGCGTCTTCTCTAAAATATGTATCATACTATTTATACTCAACCCGTACATTTTTGCTATACCTCTGTTTAAATGTATGATATTCTATGATATTTTCTAAGTATTATATTATGATCATAATGAGTTTTATTTCCATAGTAAATTAAACGCATATTTTTTTTTTAATGATTAAAAATAAATATATTATTACCTCTTTGACGGTGGCATTGCATCTATAACACAAGTAAATCAAATTCCCCGCCACAGTGCATATGTATAAGGATAAATTAAAGAACGAGTAAGTGTCCACGTGCCTTCTACGAACAATGTTTTCCCATACAAACGTATATGAACACAATAATAACTGGGTGTAGGTGTCAACCATGACAAATAATAATTCCGGTCCGAATGTTTTGGATATATAATCAATAAAGTCTTCAAGATACCAATGATCGTTCATCAACGATGTCAATCGCATCGCCCTTTCAGGTTTTGATGTCAAACTGCACAATTCTCCCATTTCTCTGTAGAATAATAAATATATGATGTTTAGGAAACAAATGCTTAGTAAACAAAATTACACTACTGATAAAATGTTTAGAGAATTGTCCTCATAGTAAATAAAGCTAAATTATGTTATTCCTTAATTTTAATTGTTTTTTTACACTTTTTACATCTGTGTAATCCTTCCAATCATGACTCGGATGGTTTATAGATTTGACAGTTTTTGTAAACGGCTGTAGGTGAGTTGCGGCCCGAGGTGTTGTTTACAATGTCGGAGACCGGTGAATTGCGGCCCGGCCGTTTTCGATAGACGTATGAGTTGCGGCCCGTGCAACCTTTTTTATCTTGAAACTTTTATCGCCAATTTAGTTATACAGGTGACTTTTTTAAAGAGATCCACTCAATATCCTATAGGATTTTATTAGTGTAACTACATTTCACCAGACGCGACGTCCCCCCCCCCAAAAAAAATTTGGGCACAGTTAACTGCCAGCTGTGAAAGTTTACATTCAAAATGTAACGGTTCATTCTATACTAGCCATCCAAATATCTATAACTTCGTTGATGTGCTACTTGAAATTCAATCCAAAACGTATATAAAATTTAGAAGTAAAGTGAGAAAGAAGCGTTTATTAGAGAACAAATAACAAAGCTAGAAAACAAAGAGATCGGACAGTTTGAATTTGTCAAAACTTTAAGATTTAAATTCTCTCAATAATATAAAAAAAACTAAAATGACAACGACGGAATGCTCATTGGCAAATAACATGACCAAACTTGACCTTAACTTGACCAAAAAACACATTTTTGGGAGACAACTCAACCAACCTCACCGTGGTGTCTCCTGGGTAACGCTAATAGGCTGATATAAAGTGGTAATTATTATGTGGCCGCAACTCGTCCTTGATTTAGGGATTGGGCCGCAACTCACCAATACCGTTGTAAACATATATTACGGATATCATTACCTGTTAATGTCTTCGTAGGAGTTCTGTGATACCAAACATATAATGCTAATCAGGTGGATAATTAAGGGCGTGCACATCGACGACACGAAAAATCCGTAATACACGGTTGGGTAGTTGCCTTTGTACCAACATACAGTAAACCCTATTCTGAATACAATAAAGGCCATTGACACCATCACGGCAAACGTGGCGAAAGGCAACTCACGGATGTAACGACACCGAAGTATCAGGGCTGCGACCATGTTGAAACAACGGGCTGTTTTGTTTGGCCGAAACCCGACCAATATTACTATTACTAGTATTAAAATCGAGTGCGAAACCAGTGTGCTTAACACTGTGCAGTAGTTGTCCACCGAACAGGCGATTTTTTTCTTATTTGCTATTGAAATTGTAAAGATTTTCGACATTCCAAAAAACGTCCACACTTGTATTGCCACGTGCATTATCCAAAGTACGATTCCACTTTTGCTCACGTGAAAACGTACGTTCCGAACTAAAAAGCACAAAAAGGTCATGACTTCAAAAACATTGCCAAGGGTTGAACACGAAATATAATAAGGCGCCATTTTAATAATAAGTGAGCGGGCACGGTTTTTCATACAAAAGTACATACCTCGTTGTATTTATCTCGTTAAAACTTAAATTGTTAATTTTTTGTAAAAAAAATAAGGATTGATTAATGAACTGTTAAATGTTTTTAACACGCTTATATTAGCTTCACTTGTATGTTTGTATGTAACTATGTAACTAATAAAAGAGATAGGCAACCGAACGTACATGCGTGTATTCATTGTCGTTTACCTGAAGTTTTCAAGTAATAGAGACACGTATGTACTAGAATTTAAAAAAACACGATTTTAAAGCACATCGAACTAAAAAGTGGAAAATAAATATAGTTTAAAAAAACTAAAAAACACGCTTAAATAGTAAAATAAACTAAAAAGTAGAAAATAATTTTCAATATAGAAATCAATTAATAAAAAATAAATAGTATTATTGTGAAAAAAGTGTGAGGCGCTTTTCAAGAACTGATATATGTAGCACTCCACGCTTTTTTTACAATAATACTATTTATTTTTTATTAATTGATTATTTATTTAACTCTAAATAATAAAATCTATTAACTGTATAATTACATTTTTTCTATGCATATACATTATATAAATTATTAAGAAACCGCTACAAATCTTTCGCTCTTATACCAGTGCAAAAAGTCTGAATGATATAGTCTGTCACATAAAATGGCACGTACCACGTGAGCCATTTAGAAGCTTATTTAATAAAAAAAAAATCAATCATTTTCGATTCTCTAAAAATATTATTGTTACATAAATGAAAGCTTTATTGTGTAAAATCGATTAATGTATGCTATTTTTCTCCTTATTTTTTTATAAACCGCACGAGAGTATAGAATATACATATAGTATGTATACTTCTTTGATAGATATCTTTCTAATATCGTCATATAACAACACGACGATATTATGTAGGTAAGTAATTTGATTCTTACTGTTATTATGACTTCTCCCGCAAAAATCTTTAGGATTTCTGTTGTTCTCCATTCGACAGTATGAGTAACTGACTGGTATAATACCGAACATTTTACAAAGGTAATAAACTGGAGCAATAGTAGCCAAACGGCCAATTTTCAACTGCCTAGTCATAGTTTGACTGATAACTATATACTAAATTTTTAAAACCATTTTTTTACAAGTTACATTAAATATTCAGGTAAATTTCATGTATATGTGATATTTAAAATATTTAAAGAGTTGTTTTAAGTTGAACTTGTATTGTTAAAAGACTTGAATATTACAACAAAAATATTTTTTTTTCCCAGTACCTGCCTTTATTTTCTCTAACACAGTTTTAAGTTTTTTTTTTTTATTGAATGACAGTTTTATACCTAAACGTATGGAATATGATAGAAACATAAAAAAAAAAATAGCGTGGGAGAAAATAAAATAAAAATATTGTTTCCTATTGAAAGTGTAATTAATATTAAGTCATATCGTAAATAGTTTGCATTTTGAGACATTTGTTACAAAAAAAAAAATGTGTTGCTTAGATAAATTGCAACCCGTGTTGACCAAAATTTAAATCGAATAATAAACAATTTAACTTTGATGTGGATCTTGTTTTTATAATGATGGTTTTATTACTTTTTTTTGTTTCGAACCCACGAAACTACTTTCGACCCCAGTAGCGTATTTACGGCGGGGATATGGGGGTAATATCCCCCCCTTCGGGGCCCTATCAGTACATAAAAATATAACAGTCACACCTGATGAAGTACTCAATATTCTTTCGCTGTCCTCAAGAAAATTAGACTTTGTTTTGTAGTTAAGAATCCAAATTTTTGTTTACATGCAACATATAAACAAATATTATGAATATATATGTTTATTAAATACTGTTAAAATCTGTATATCCTTCCCCCTCGTGGAAAAATCCTAGATACGCTACTGTTCGACCTACTTTATCTTTTAAAGCGCTGAACCATTTCCTCAGAAAAGTGTCTTGACTGAGACATGTTAAAGGCATCGAAAAAAAAATGGTATCATGCCCTTAAAAGCCCATTGCTTTTATTGATATTTGTATTTCTACTATTAAAGAATCGTATCGAAGCGTTTATTTAAAAGTGATATTGCTCCGTTCTTAATAAACAAAAGATGTCATTAAATTACTTAATTTCAACACTCATATCAATTTCTTTATCAACATTCCCTAGTGATCAATTATATATCTAATAACCTATTATACATTTATGTCATGACGGTATTGATTTCAATACCGTCATGACTACCGGTATTGAAAATACCACTTTATACCGGTATTGAAAATACCACTTTATACCGGTATACCAAAATACCAAAGGTATGCCGGTATACCAAAATACCAAAGTCACGGTAATGTACGGTATAATACAGTGTTCGATGTTGTACGGTATACCGTTCGATCGGTATTTCAGCAATTACCGGTATACCATAAAAAACCGTCAGCCCTATATATTTGTTTGCAGATGATCAATTTTACGATGAAATACAGTTACTATTTCATAACGCAATAACCTCGCTAGAATAGGATTAATAAAACAAATTATAATTCAATTATAATCGAAATAATATAGTCAAATAAATAGTAATAATTTAATATTATGCATATGTTTTTATAGCCTGACCCTGATTGCATGAGTAAAAAAATAAAATCGGCACAATATTTTTATCGTCGAATATACTAACTGAAAAAGCCATACTATTGTTATTATTCAGAGTTGCTATTTACTATTTATTTGTAAGCAGGTGTTCGATTTTACGCTGCGCTGTAATGAAATTGCTTATCTTCAGACGATAGACATTGCGTATAGCTTTGAAATTCAGTGAAAGCTTAACTATCTATTTTAGTTATTGCTGTATACATTTATAAAACACGCAAATGTATAAGGTCATATAAATATTAAATGTACATGAAAATTACATGTATGTATTCAAACGGTTGGGAATCATATTGGGGTTAAATAACTAGAATAGTATTTAACGGCGCATTAAGTTATTTTAATTACTGAAAAGTTTCTAGAATTATCTCGCTAAGTGTGTTAGTATTTTGTTATAAACCAAATTAGGCTTATTGTTAAACTACAAACGTGTCGGTAGTGTAAAATGTTACTATAAAAGGATAAACATGTTAAATGGGAATATTTAAAAATACATACAGGTAATGTTTTTTCATACATCAATGCATCTGTTTAAAATACGATTTTAAGGTATTAATGTTAGTTTATATTTTAATTTATTTAATAAAATTAATAATGAGTCGATATATTTGACACCAATTTAGAAAAATGATCCACAGAAGAGTGATATTCTTGATATGTCTTTAAAATCTTAACAACACAGAAGTGAAAGATTATAATGTGTAGGTATAGTATGATAAAGTTACACTAAAAAAGTACAAAATTATGTAAATTAAATTAAAATTTACTAAAGTAAATATTAAACTACATATTTTGTATAAGAATAAATACAAATATAAGTGTCTATGTTTAGTGAGTGATGGATATTATCAAAATATATATTTGATAGGTAACAAACATTAAAAAAAAAGTATTTACAAGAGATGACAATAAAACAAAATATATACTATTTGTATTGATAATTCTCAATAAAGCAATCTCCGAAAAAAAGTATTAATCTTTGCTAATACAAGGCCATTTTCCTCATTCAATGGTTTTACTTATATTAAATTCTTGTGATTTTTTGTAACCATCTATTTGGAATTGAACAAGCACTAAAAAGTACGTGAACATAAGGCCTGCCGACTGCGAAACATAAAAAATCATTTTAACATTACATTTTGTATACTTGCATTGTTTAAAATACCTACACCACAAAGAAGAGGTAGATTTATATCGAATAACTTCAATGCTGTAACATTTACTTCCCGGCTATTGACTCGATGTGTGAACACATTTAGCTGTTGGGATATTACAAACTTTAATTAATAAAACTAATGATTAATTAGTTTATTTTTTGATAATTACACAATGACCACGAACTTATTAAGAAAATGATTCGATACAAATTACTTTAATGATAATAAAATATATAACTTAATTTACAAACATACACCTCTACTATACAATGATTACAACAATATTGTAATTATTTATCACTATTGTTGAATGAACAAGTGACTGCATTTTTTTTATTTTGTGATAATGTCAAATATTTAACAACATTATAGAAATTCATTACTCACAATAGCTTCACAGATGGGATCGTCACGCAACACATTTCTCAAATGCTGAATTTGAGAAATTATCCGTCGACTCTAAATTAAAAAATAACTATTTGTAATATTAATTAATTAAAATATTAAAAACTGTATACTATTATTATTAGGTCGATTAGGTTTCATAACAATACGATTAATGCATACTTTTTTTAATTAATTATATTTTATTTTTAAGTTACCAACTATTTAATACCTACTGAGATAAGCACGTAAACCTTTTCGATTTGCGTT